CCGGCCAGCCAATCCCCTCGTCCCCCACCCCGAGCCAGCGCATCTTCCTTTTGCGCCCTTCCTCCGGGGAAAACTTTTGAAACTTTGATGAACTCGCGGAGGGAACTTTCTTAAAGGGCTCGCGCGCCTTTTTTCCCCCCTTCTTCTTTTCTTTCTTGCCGCCCCCACCCCCGGGAGGAGGAAATCCCCGAGGGCAGCCCGGTCCAATTCACAAGGCCGTGTCATCCCCCCACCCAGCCCCATAGAAGAGGGGGGAGTGTCGTCGGGGCTTCCCTTACACACGCACACGCGCGTGGCAGATCACACACGCTTTCCCAGCCGGGCGAGTATGTATTTCTGTGCAAAAACGTCCTACCGAGCCATCGTGACCAACTCTCCGATTTTTTTGGAGGGGGGGGGTTGTTTCTGAGATCCGAGGGCGCAGCGGCCGGCCGGCACACCCTGCCGCTTAGGGGCCGGTCGTGGGCTGCCCACGGAGGCCGATCTCCTCCGGGAAAGCGGACGATGGTCAGCGCGCAGTTTTGCAGCGCTCTTGCTGGGGCAAAAACATTTCAGCGGGGTGCGGGTGTGCATGTGCTTGTCTGTCTGTCTGTCTGTCCGTCTCCCGGTGGAAACCCCTCCGGGAGCACTGGGAGTGGCTCCCCTCCCTTCAGCCTCTCGCGCCCGATGCCTGGGTTTATTTTTCAAGGAAAATATTGTTTTCCCTCGTTTATCTTCAATCGGAGAGGATTAAATGAGAAAAACAATAAGCCTGCAATGCTGACTCGGTAACGTGGCCTGGAAAATCGACTCCTCGCGCAACCCATCCGTGCGATCCCTGGAAACACACTGGGCGCGAACGCGGAACGAACCGTTCTTTCCTTTTCGTTACTGTCGAAATGCGGGAACGAAGTTGTGCCTTTCCCCAGAAATACGGGTTGCTTCCCCTTTTGCCCCCTTCCCCCCCAGTGTTTTGCAAGTGCGGTCCCAATCCAGAACAGCGTCCCCGAAACCTGGGACGTGGGCCAAGTTGGATCCTTGGATTCCCCCCCCCGCTCCTCCCCGGCGCCCCCGCAATCCGGGAACGAAATTCCTCGGAACTGGGCGGCCGCCGCGACCCGGATCGCCGCTGGTTCGTCTGGTTTCGTCCGACGTCGTGGTTTTTAAAGTGCAATCCCAGGCACGCTACTCGGGAGGAAGCCCCCCCTGATCTCGGAAGGCCTCCAGCAAGTATTGGTTCATATAGGGCTGCACCCTTATCTAAACAAGGCTTCTGGGGAATTAATGGCTAGTAAATGGATCCGGGCATCACCTTTCATGGCCTGGAACCGACTTCATCACACGCCTCAAACCTAGTGCGTAAAAACCTGCAAGAAACGATGTAGGCGAGCTGGCTACTTGGCAGGGTAACGAACTCTCGTTACTTCCGGAATTCCAGAAAGGTATAGGAGGTTCTTCGGGACGTTCCAAAGAAGCGTTATATAGAATAGGAGGGAAAGGAGGAATCTGGAGGATTAGATGCCCTAAAACTAAAAATCGACCTTTTTTGGGCCCTTGCTCCTCCCGTGGTCCATTTCCAGCACGGAAAATGCGATTTTCTTGCGTCCTGATTCTAAAAAAAAAGACTCGAGCGGTCCAGCCCGTTCCTCGACGGGCACACTTTCAGGCCTCGGGGACGTGAGAAGGCTTCCTCGGCGGAACCACCCGTCACTAAGAAAAATGATCGTGGATTCACCACTAAAACCTGACAGGCAAGACACGGGCCCTACTAGCACGCCTAGTTTTTCCCACGAGAAGCAGCTGTTCCCAGAGTGGTCGACCAGACCAGATGGGCGGGATATAAATCAAATAAATAAATAAAATAAATAAATGACGTGTTCCCCCACCCCCAAGACTTTTCAAACACCGAACAGGGCACAGATCCATCCCGATCGCCTGGCATGGTTTCAGTCCAGGAGGGTCCCACACCGGCGTGTATACAAATGCTCTCCTCGTTTCAAAATAATTGGTTGAATCTGTGAGCCACAACGCCCTTCTCTTTTTATTTCTCTCTTTCCCCCCTTTCATTCTGCTGTCAAAAATGTCCTCCTCCTTTCTTTCATCTATACCTGCGATTTTGTGCAAACTTAACCTTTTTAGAGAGGGAGTCGGCAAGCATTGGAGGTGGCGAGCCCTTTAAAAATACCATTTACACCTTCAAAATATTCGTTGCGTTATAGTTTTAAACAGGAATCGGTTTGTTTTAATTCATTGGCGGATTTCAAATTATTATTTTTTTTTGAACGTCGCCTTGTTGGGTCGCCGCTGAGGATAAAAAATAAATAAGCAGGAAAATAAATAAGCAGACGAGATGCTTTTGAAATACACCAGCTAAAAAGAAAAAAATTAAAATAAGCAAGACCAACACTGTTCGCAGTGTTATAATAAAAGTGGCGAAAACTTACCTAGGCATGGAGGACTGCTCTCTAAAGGGCTGTATTGAACTATTTAAACGTACAGTATTTAATTTTTGTCTCTTCGCTTGCTTTGCTTTACTCAAGAGGAGAACATGGGCGTTTATAATTTTTTTGCACGTCCGTAAAAAAGGAACACATAATGAACAGATGGGTACAGGTGACATACTGTAGAAATAATTTGATTTTTATTAAGAAAGCGTGCGTGTGTGTGCGTGTGTCCGTGTCCGTGTGTGCGTTTGCGTGTGCGTGCGTGTGTGTGTGTTGGAAGGGCATACAACTGGATCCAAGAGTATTTCGAGGATGGAAAGGAACGTTGTTGTCTTGCAAGTTACATTTATTAAACGAAGAATCGTAGTGGAGGGTTGGCCGAGCCCCCCTCCTCTGATGCAGCCACCGACCCCCCACCCCCAGAATTGGGTTAAGGCTTGTGCAGAGCGCCGGGGAAGCTTCTCACGGGATGCGGAGATTCCCCGGGCGACCCGCTGCGTGTCGGCTCCGCTGCTCGTTGGAACGGACGCGGCCGCGCCTTCCCGCCACGGTTCTGCCGCTCGGATCAGCGCGGACGCCTACCTGGAAGTCAGGGGATGGGGCGTTTGGGGGGGGGGAGCTTTGTGGTCTAAGGTCCGATTTCCGTTTGCCCCCATTTAAGGGCACTTTTTCAAGCTGAGCGCCTGGGGGGGGGAAAGAATCACGGGAAGGAAACAAATATTTGCATCAGAGATTTTTGGTGAAATGGGGACGGATTCCGTACCTGTTTGAGATCCACCTTTCTTTCTTTCTTTCTTTCTTTCTTTCTTTCTTTCTTTCTTTCTTTCTT